CATTTTCTATTTCTTGATACAAGTGCACCACGTAAACCAAATGATACAGCACGTGTTGTTAGTCCAGTATTTGCTCCAACAACATCCGGAGAATGTCAATTTCGATTTTGGTATCATATGTATGGTTATGATGTTGCATCATTAAATATATATACACGTACGCTTGTTGGTGGTCCATTAACATTAGTTTGGAGTCAAAGTCATTCAAGAGGTGATGAATGGCTTCGTGGTACAACTATTCTTAAAGTTCAACAACCATTTCAAGTACTTATCGAAGGTGTACGTGGTAATAGTTATGAAGGTATTTTTCATTAGAAATTTTTGCTTTGTTTTTTGGTGTATTTTAAATTTTATTATTCCTAGGTGACATGGGTGTTGATGATATAAGTTTTACACCAGGTTGTCAATTACAAATAACAGCTACATTACCACCTTTTGCATATTCTACATCACCAAGTCCCTATTGTAATTCCACACATTCTCATTGTTTACAAAATACTCGTCAATGTTTACCAAAAGATCAATTTTGTAATTTTAATATTGAATGTACAGATCAAACAGATGAATTATCATGTCCATCAAGATGTTTGTTTGAACAAAACTCATCATGTTTTTGGACAAATGATCGAAAACAAAAACTAAACTGGGATTTTGGTAGTGGTAGAACAACATCAAGTGATACAGGTCCAAGCACTGGTAAATCTTTTTCTTTTAGATTAAAAAAAATCTTCACAATACATTATTTTCTTTTTTTTTTCCTACAGATCATTCAACAAATAGTATTAATGGAACATACATATATTTGGAAACAAGTACAGGTAGCTTTGGTGATCGTGCTCATTTTATTAGTCCTCTATATCGTAAATCATCGAAAACTTGCAAGTTTACATTCTGGTAAAATTAAAATTTGATTGTTTTTGTTTTTTTTTTTCAAAGAAACTTTTGTTTTTCTAGGTATCATATGTTCGGTGATACAATCAATACACTAAATATTCATATACGCTCTGATGATAGTATTGATACATTAATATGGTCATTACAAGGAAATCAAGGTGATCAATGGCGGCTAGGAACTGCTTATTTACCAGCATGTGCATCACAATTTAAGATTATTGTTGAAGGTATACGTGGTACATCATTTACAGGTGACATAGCCTTAGATGATTTTGCTTTTGAACAATGTTATGAAGATCCCCCATTACCAACATGTGCACAAGCTATTGGAGATCCAAATCAATTTATGTGTCAAAGCAAACATTGCATACCACAAGCAAATAAATGTGATTATGAACTTGATTGTTGTGACGGTAGCGATGAAGATGATAGTCAATGTTATGAATACCAAAGGTAAGAAGAAAAAAAACCAAAAGAATATGTTTAAATCTTAATCTTTATTTTATTTAGATGCAATTTTGAAACAGATTCTTGTTCATGGGAACCATCAGCTGGTAGTCCACTGGAATGGCAAAGATACCGTACTAATGCACTACCATATGATCGACGACCACCATATGATCATACAACACGTAGTCAACTTGTACGTTTACAAAACAAAAATATGTTCTTTTATTTTAAATAGATATATTTAAAATGTCATTTTTTTAGGGTCACTATTTACAATTACGTTTGAATTCAACAATACAAAGAGATACATTAGGAACCGTATCAAATTATCTCGGAGTAGCAGCACAACAAGGATGCATGCTGCGTTTTTGGATTTATTTTAAATCTTCTAATAATGGACAATTAGTTGTTGGTTATCGATATGCTATTGGAGATGATATTAGACCTTTATCATTCTCAAGTTATCAATCATGTCAATCAAATGCAGGACAATGTTCATGGCAACGTATTGATGTTTCACTAAGTGATATTTTAACTCAACCAACTGAAGTAAAAGCAAAAAATAAAATACACAAAAAAAAAAAACATTTCTCTTTTGATAATTATTTTTATTTATTTAAATAGGTTATTATTGGTGCAAGAACAGGGGCTGATCGTGATGGAATTATGGCAATAGATGATGTAACATATACACCACAATGTGTTAAATACAACGGTACAATACCAACAACACCTACAACAACTACAACAACTACAATACCTACAACATCTACAACAACTACAATACCTATAATAACTGCAATACCTACAACATCTACAACACCTGTAACAACTACAACACCTGCAACAACTACAACACCTGCAACATCTACAACACCTGCAACAACTACAACATCTGTAACAACTACAATATCTACAACAACATCTAGAGGTCCACCACTCACAATTTCTACAACATCAACGGCTGGAACGACTACAACTTCGTCAAAGGGTACACCACCAATAACTAATACCGCTATAATAACTACAACTAAGGGTGGAATAGAAGAACCACCGAAGAAGAGTAATTGTAAATAAAAATGTTTTTGATAGAAATTGCTTTAATTTATTTTAACATTTCTAGTGGGTGGTATTTTGGGTGGAATATTTGGTGCACTTGCTGCTATTGTTTTAATTATTATTGGATATATCTATGTTTTACCGAAAATACGTGCAGCTAGGTCTGAATGAAAAGAAATTTTTTTTTATTACTATTATTCATTGTATTGTGTTTCCTTTTTTGTTTGAATAGAGATGCAAGTGCAAGCACACGATTACTTGATTCATTACCAATTGGTCCAATTACAAATCCTGCTTACAGTGAAACTGGAACATCTGATGCATAAAAAATAAATAGAACTTTTGTTTTTCTAGCTAAAATATGAATTTTTGTTTTCTTTTTTTTTTGTATTCACAAAAATTTAATTTATTAAAGTCTGTTTCTTTTATTGATGATATTTGAAAAAGAAAAAGAAACTTCATTGAGTATATAATCATATTTATATTGACAATGATTCATAAGAAATACAAATTAAAAGAAAAGAGTAATAACAGAATGATCAGAAAAATACTACATAGAAATTTTTTTCTTTATTGATTTTATCAATTTCGTTACAATAAAAATATGTGCTTTATATATCATATAGACAACAAGGCAAATACACGACTTTCTTACTGATCGATATTTTGGTCAAGACTCCTCATAGAGTCAATCTTAGACTGAGAACATTCTCATCACATGAGATTGTCACCATATGCTGAGCTTGTAGTGGAAAAGTTATGTTGAATTTTTTCGCTTCATACCATGATGTCTTCATCAAACAAGGGTCAATAATATCTAAGTTGATGACTGAAAGTTCTCTGTTAGCTTTCATTCTATATATTTTCTTTTTCTTTTGTTTGATAGAGCGTGTCAGATTGTAAAATTTTGCAGAACTTTGTTTTTCAAATCATAATTTTCCGTTGGAAGCCAAGGGTAATATGTTTAATACTGGAAAAAGATCTGGAAAAAGGTACCAATTTTTCATATTCTGTTTTGGCCGTGAACTTATCACGATCAATTTTCAACGAAAAAGAGTTCAAAAGAGAAAGGGCTCAATCAGACTTTGCAGTTTAATATGTTCTATCAAACAAAAAGAAAATATGCACAATCAAGGCTAACAGAAAATTTTATATTGCTAAATTAGTGAAAATGTTATTTGAGATGGCCTTCTACGTGTTGTGACTACGCCGTATATGCGTTGCATTATTAAAAGGTCTACACTTCTTAATTAGCTATCATGTAATCGTAGACAATCAGTAGGTACTCTTGAGTCCTAACGAACTCTATCAAGTTTCCATGACCTAATGTCTTCATGAGCCACTTTCTAATATAAACATTTATTTATATTTGTTTTCTGTTAAAAATGACCCCTTTTTGTTAATACGTAGTCCCCTATAGTTTTTGAAGCAGTTGTTTGTACACATCAACTAATAGTTTCTATTGGATTCTATCTGACGCATTCGACTGCGTCGTTTAAACATACTAATGAAATACTTTTCATAACTGACAATTTAAAATACATATATTGATTTTTATGTCAATTAATTCCTAACAAGTTTACAAGGATAAGTATCAATTTAATGAAGTTCATACTTATTTATTTAGATCAATATCCGAACAAGTATAAAGGTAAGAATTAATTTCAGGAAATAAATATTTCTTTAAATTTAGATGGATTCTCGAAACAAGTATAAGATAATTTGAATAAATAAATTACATTTGTTTTTTTCTCGAGAGGATGGTGTAACAGAAAGTCACCCCTCTCTTCAATCAGAAAAAGCTGATATACATAGGACGACAAACAATGGTATACTGCCGTTTACATTGACCGCATACGATAATAATATGGTGTATATAGAGCAAAAGTACGGCAATATACGATCATCTGATCTTGGTCATAAAGACAATGCCATTGCTCATATAAGGTCACTTAAGGTTCGTATACGGGCATCACATCACAGCATCTGAAGAGCCATAAGCATGAATGCTTTTCGAATTTTCTTAATCCTACTATGACCTACTTATTGTTAAAACTTCATTCGTATGACTTCGCTTTAATTAAAAAATCACTTTCTGCACTCATAATGTCTTCATTTTATACCGCGAATTGTGTGAGTATATGTAAATTCTGTAGTTCAGTTTCAATTAAGATATTGTGCTGACAAACTTTTTTGGTGAAAAACCATTAGTTGAAATTAGTAACTTCCAATAGCTGAGAAAAATGAACTCTTAAGTCGTGGAGGAATCCTCACCGAATCTACAATAATTCATTGGGGCAAAGATAATTCATCAGTAGTTTTCTCATAGTTTCGCCATTCATAAAAACAAAAGTGATGCTTTTTCTGCAAACAGTTTTCATATTCGCACATACACGTTCACAATTTTTTTGATAAATATCAACGTAAGAGCAAAAACTATCGTGGATCTTTAATTTTTGTTATTGTAGCAATAATGGAATTTTGGGAAACTAAAAAGGAATTCCTATTTGTCAGTTCTTACACACTCCTCTGTTGTTTGCTCATAGCCATATTTATATATCTCTTACAAGATAAAAAGTTAACATTTCATTTTTTACATGCAATATTTACCTGGTATATCTTTGTTGGGCTAACATTTTTGTCTTTATTTCGAAGTAATAGATCTTATGGTTTTGTATAGACGTATTAATCATCTCTAGCTAATGGATATAGAAACAAAATATCTTGATAAAAGTAATACTACTATTTGTCTGCCATTATATTGCTTTGAAATCTCTTTTTCTTTAGTAGATGATTCGGAACAATAGCTAGATGAAAGAGAGAGAATTATTACGTGCATCTTCTACTAGAAAAGTAACAAAAAAGAGATAAGACTTGTTTTTTGACGTACATCTAAATGATTCAAAATGAAGATTGATGTACAAGAAGTTAAGAGTAAAAATTACAATGCATATAGTTTCGTGTTTTAGAAATATATAATTTTGTATGCAAGAAATCATTTAAAAAGCAAGGATCATGGATCGTTTTGTGTTGTTGTTTCTTTCTCTATATTTTATTGGCAGTTTGGGTAAGTTTTATCAGAGAAAAACCCAATTTTCTCAAAAAACTATTATTAATTTTTTTTTTGTTAATTAAAGCTCAATCAAATATTTCCAATGAAGGTCAATAGTATAATATTAGTCTTTTTTAGAGAATTCAAAAGTAATTTTTTTAATCTAGATCCAGATTGGAGAAATGATCCAGCCAATATTGAGAATTTAGGATGGCATGAATCTCTCCCTACAACATCGAGTAATTATTTTAAATATGATTTGATTATTATGATTTATCTTTGTTTCATAGAAAAACGATCATTTGTCTTGAAATATTCGAACGATAAAGAAAATCTACAATCATCCAAACGATATAATGTACGTCTACTAGGCACTTCACATTTATCTTCACGAGACTCACCATCTTGTCTTACTTTTGATTATCAAATAACAGATGATAAATTAAATAAATTATCTGTTTTTGTTCATAATCGTACTATATGGTGTAACCGATTGCGTTCAGGACAAAGGTTTGATAAAAAACATTCTTTTTGATTTGTTCGAAAATAAAATTTCAATATTTATCTAGTGCTATTCATATTCAATTGAATATTTCTTCGCCATCGTCAACTAGCTCATTACGAATGGCAATTCTTATTGGATTCGACGGACAAATAACAAACAATGGACAAATTGAATTGAAAAATATTTTAATTACTGATCGACCATGTCTTCCTTCAAGTAAGACTTATTATGTTTTATAAACGTACATACTTTTATCATATTTGTTTATTTGATATTGAAAAAATTAAGTACTAAACCTTTAACTCCATATAAACATGCGTTATCTTTTCAAAGAGAATCGAATTTGATTTTCCTTTTAAGCTGTTAAATCTTCGAATTTTCGAACAATTCCATCAGTTACAACAAAATCTGTTGCTGATTATGATTGTACATTTGAACAAGACATGTGTGGTTGGACACAAGGTCCAAATAATACTCTTGATTGGTTTCGTGAACAACCTATTTCGAATAATTTAGCTGGAATAGTTGGTCCAACAACTGATCATACATATGGAAATTCAACTGGTTATTATGTTACAACAAGATTACAAATCCCAGTAGATACGTTTTCAGACATCGATTTATCAGTTTTAGTTAGTCCACGTTTACCAGATAATGTACCAGGTTCAATGTGTGCTGAATGGTGGTATATGATGCATGGTACAGATGATACTAAACTAAATGTTTATTTGATTCCTAATGAAAATTTTACTTCAACAAAATCTATCTGGAGACGATCAGGTGATCAAGGACGTCATTGGCAACATGGTCAAATACAAATTGAACCAGGAAATAACATCACTCGTTTTGTCTATGAAGTAATTGCTATATGGAGTATTCGATCAGAAGTTTCATTAGATGATATTCAACTTCTTGATGGTCCTTGTATTAAACCAGATTTTTATTCAATTAGTTGTACATTTGAAGAAGAACATATCTGTGGATATTCATCAGATCCAACTGGATTTCCATGGACGAGAATTAAAGGATTCACAACAACGTTATCTACTGGTCCTAGTGAAGGTAAAAATTGACTTATTTTTCTTTTTTTCTCTATTTTATTAAAATTGCTTTTAATATTTTAGATCATACATTTGGAACAGAGAAAGGTCATTTTATGTTTATTGGTATATATAAATTGTTTTTCATTTTTGTTCAAAGTAATAAATATATTATTTTTCCTAGAATCATCACTTCCACAAAAACCAGGTGATAAAGCACGATTAATATCAGTTGTTGAACAACCACAATATGGTCGTTGTTTACAATTTTGGTATCATATGTTCGGTATAAATATTGGTCAATTAAATGTTTATGTCAGTACGAATACATCCAATAATGACACACGTACACTTGTTTGGTCACGTGGTGCTAATGTTGGTGATGTATGGCGTAAAGCACAAGTTTCAACTCAATATATCGTACCATTTCGTATTATATTTGAAGGTGTTGTTGGTAATGGTATTGACGTAAGTTGAAAATATTGAAATTTGGTTTTATGTTTTTTTTTCTAAATAAAATCTTTTCAAATTTCTAGGGTGATATTTCTATTGATGATATTGAACGTTTAGCTGTATCATGTAACGAACCAAATAATTGTGATTTTGAAGGTGATACTTTTTGTGGATGGGAAAATGTTAAACATACTGATCGATTTGATTGGGAAATAACAAATGGTCCATCATCACAAACAACGCTTAGTGGTAAAAAAAAATAGATTGAAATCGAACATGTTTTTAAATTTCTATTGTCTTTTTTTTTTGTTATAGGTCCATTATCTGATCATACAATTGGAGAATACGATGGTTCGTATGCATTTATTGATACAAATAAACAGCGAAAAATTAATGATACCGCTGTACTTATTTCACATTCAATGACTGATACTGGTTCAAATGGAAAGTGCTTTGAATTTTTCTATCACATGTAAATATTGAAATAAGTTAATACAATTTTTATACTATGAAAATAAGTCGTATAAACTTGAGTATAAATGATTGTTTTTTGTATTTAGCATTCGACTTTATATTTTAATAGAAGAAAAAACTTGATTTAATATTTATCTTTCTAGGTTTGGTGATGGTATTGGTACATTAACAGTTTATTTACAAAAAGAAGGTTTTCAACCAATAGCAATGTGGACATTATCTGGTCACCAAGACGATTTTTGGTTTCAAGGAAAAGTTGGTTTTATTGTAAATTCTGATCATTCAATATTAATCGAAGGCAAAATAACTGACAACGATGAGGGCGATATTGCTATTGATGATTTATCAATCACAAATGGATATTGTCCAATATATCCGATGTTTGCTATACCAGCTGATGGTTTAACAACATCAAAACCAGTCGTAACAACGGGAATGTCAGTTGAAAAATTTAACTTTATTTTGTGAAACATGATCTAAAAGAGGAGTGTTGAAGTATAAGGTTAAAGATTTGGATCTCCTCTCACACATCATGACAGATGCTAACTGCAGAGATCATTATAAACTATCACATATGTTGTTGATATTCGATTTTTGATCGTATATCAATAACTATTTTTTTTTTGCATTTCTTGAGAATTAAGTAAAAGGATAGTGAAGAAATAAAATAGAACGAATAAAACAATACCCCTATGATTAATCTCAGCAGCTACAACGTCTTTTTCGTTTAAGTTTCGTACAGATTGTGAAAACAGCTTTTTTTAATGAGATAAATTATATTTTTGTTATGTTTTTATTTAGAACAACTTCACCACATCCAATATCAGCTTATGATTGTAATTTTGAAAATGATACATGCCCATCATGGACGATAATATCTAAACCTGAACTTAGTTGGATACGAATTCAAGGTCCAGTAGCATCACAACAAGATGAACATAATCCACTATTTGATCATACAGAATATCTATCAAATGGACATTATCTTTTACTTCAACCAAATAAATCAATACCATTTCCTAATGTAAGAAAAAAAAAAGTACAAGGTCATGTTTCTTCATTTTGGAAATGTATTCTTTTGTTTATTATAGATGAATATATCAAGTCAATTTCGAAGTACAACAATGAATAATAATCGTCAATGTTTAGAATTTTGGTATTTTATCTATGGTCCACATGCTGGTACATTAAGTGTTGAAAAACTTTCTGGCTCATTTTCTCAATTACGATGGACAACAACAGGTGGCAAAGGTTATGAATGGTATCATGCACAAGTTAATCTTCAATCACCAACAAGCAATCCAACACAATTTAATGTTTGTTTTGTTTTTTTCCGAAAAAAAATTTTTTCTTTTTGTTAATTAAATCTTTTGTCTTTCTTTTTTGTCTAGGTTGCTATTGAAGGAACATGGTCAGCTGAAAATCGTGGTGCAATTGCCATTGATGATATAACACTTCTAGATGGTACATGTCAAACATCATCTAATCAATGTGATTTTGATTTGGATGATACAATTTGTGGTATGTTGAGAGAAAAAGAAAAATATTTTATAATAATCATACAAAAATATCTTTTCTAGGATTTCAATATGGTTCAACAGGACAATTTAATTGGGTACGTGGCTTAGCATCTGATGTTCAACAAGGTGTTAATCCAAATGTTGATCATACAACACAAACTGATACAGGTTATTATATGTTAGCTGAAGGAAAAAATCGTAATGCTTATGATCGTGCATTACTTTTAACACCAGTTCAAGATCGTACAGCTGGTGCATGTTTACATTTTTGGTATTTCCTATATTCATCAGCAAAAAAGATGCAATTAAAGGTTTATTTATCTCCTCCAAGTCCATATAATTGGATCTTTGGTGGTAGTTTTGATAATCGTTGGTTATATACACAAATCAGTATTCTCAATCCTAGTCAATCCTGGCAAGCAGTATTTGAAGCTCAAGTTTTAATACCAAATCCAGATACTAGTATTTCTATTGATGATGTCTCGATTACAAGAGGTTTATGTCCAAAACCAGGAGATTGTACATTTGAAGATGATTTATGTGGTTGGACAACTAATGATATTGATGCTAATATAGATTGGACTATTGGACAAGGTATACATGCATTTGGAACTGGACCACAATCTGGTATGATAGAAATATATATTGAATTAATTTTTGATATATTTTTGCTTTTTATTTGAATAGATCATACAACATCTACAGCACAAGGAAAATATTTAATGATTGAAACATCATGGCCAACAAAGCCAGGTGATCGTGCACGTTTACATAGTGTTGTTTTTGAGGGAACAGATGGAGATGCTAAATGTTTTCGATTTTGGTATCACATGTAAGTTCATATCTTTGGAGAGAATCTATTATTGATAGTTTTTTTTTTGTGTCTTTTAGGTATGGTGATTCAATTGGAACATTAAATATTTATCTTTTCGATGGTTCATATACACGTATATGGTCATTATCAGGTAGTCATGGTAATCAATGGTACGAAGGAC